AAAAAAAAAAAAAACAAGAGCCTTTCAAGGTTTCCCTTGGTTAACCTTAACGCTGGTCTTTATTGGTTGGGGCCCCAGGTTTTAGGTCTTGGTAGCTTTTCGTGCTCAGAATAACAAGTCTGTAATTCCCAGCACCTTACAGGGAGGGCCCAAGGCGGTAGATGACCTGAGTCGGAGTTCAAGGACCAACCTGGACCAACATGGGAAAAACCGTTCCTCTACTAAAATTTACAAAAAAATTAAGGCCAGGCATGATGGGTGGGCCATGGCTGGATTTCCCAGCTTACTCTGGAATGCAGGTGGAGGGGCAGGAGCACGGGCTTTGAACCCGAACCCAGGAGGTGGAGGTTTCAGTGAGCCATGGTCACGCCATTGCACTCCACCTGGGCGACAAGAGCAAAACGCAAAACTCTGTCCAAAAAAAAAACAAAACCCTTCTGTTTCAGGCTTATTGGCCTTAGCTTGGAGTCACCAGGTTCAAGCTTTAATTGTCATGTCAGAGTTATTCACTTGATTTTTGAAACTCAGTGTTTGAAAAATCCATGAAATTACTTACACAGTTTTACATAAGGGAAGGCCATTTTAAGATGTCTTTTTTTTTCTTTTAGACGGAGTCTCACTCTGTCACCAAGGCTGGAGTACAATGGCAAGATACAGGCTCACTACACCACGCCTCCCAGGTTCAAGCCAGTCTAGTGCCTCAGCCTCCCAAGTAGCTGGGATTACTAAAGGCGCCTGCCACCAACCCCGGCTAATTTTTGTATTTTTAGTAGAGACGGGGTTTCACCATGTTGGCCAGGCTGGCCTACAACGCCTGACCTTGTGATCCACCCGCCACGGCCTCACAAAGTGCTAGGATTACATGAGCCACCGCGCTGGGCCAGGAAGGGGTATTTAACCCTAACGCAGTTCTTATTTTTGTGTCCTTCCCATGTAGGCTGGGGTCGGACCGCACAATCTAAGCTGATCCCGGTTGGGCTAGACACAAACTTTTTCCAAATACGATAAACGCGCGATGTTTTGAGAAAAGGAGAAGGCGGAAGAAGAGGTAGCGTTGATTTACAATTTTTACAACTTATGACCAGGAAGTTAAGTCTTTGAAGAGGAGCTTAGTTTGTCCTAACAACTCCTTACCTCAAGTGATCCGCCTGCCTCGGCCTCCCAAAGTGTTGGGATTACCGGAATGAGCCACCGCGCCCAGCCCCATAAATTTTTAATAGAAAAGAGAAACTGTGAACCCAAGGCACTAAAGCTCTTCCCATTCGTGAACCCGCACTCCGAGTCAGGATTCTCCCCTGACGACTCTTCCCGTGGTCCCTGCACAATCTGGGAGAGAAGCGGCGCTGCGGGGGCAGAGCTGCCCAGAGAGGGCTCCAGGCCAGGGCATAGTCACCGCGCAGTGAAGAGACAGGACGCCTGGGGGCTGGGCTGTCAGCGCAGCCGCCATCTTTTGGCTGAAGCGAACCGAGGCCCAGCTGGGCAAGGAGAACTCGGGGAGCAAATTGTGGAGCTGACTAAGGGGATACCTAAGTCCCGCCACCGTCACTTTCCACCGGTTCCAACCAGCCCCTGCCCTTCGCTTGGGATGTCCGACCGGCACTCTCACCATTTCTAGGCTTCCAGGGGTCCTGGTGTCTTCGCTGTGGATCTCACAATACCTGCAGATCACAGGGCCACAGAGGCTGGGCCTCTAGGAGTACAGGACACAGAGCAGTAAACAGGAGACCAGGAGCTCCGGCTGCACCCAGAGACAAAGGACCCGCCAAACCAGAAGCCGCCCTGTTCGCTCCGGCTGTGTGCCTGATTGGACGTTTCTAGCCCAGCGTCCCTGATTGGATAATGCTTAAGGCCCCGACCCCTCAGGCCCTGAGTGACAGAAGACGTGATCAGATTCTGGGCTGTTTGCTTAGGCTGCGTGCCTGATTGGACGTTTCCAGCCCAGCGTCCCTGATTGGATAATGCTTAAGGCTCCGCCCCCTCAGGCCCTGAGTGACAGAAGATGTGATCAGATGCTGGGCTGAGTGAAGAAAAGTAACAGCGTAAGTTGCAGCCTTTTCAACAGGGCTTCCTCCCTGAGCTGAGCCACGTCCACCCCAGAGCATGGGAAAATTCTCTTTTTTACTCTCTCTTTTTGAATGTTATTGAGACGGTGAACAGAAGTATTTTGTTGTCATATTAATAATACGGTTGGAAGTAAAATATACGGTGGCGCAAAGTGAAACCAGTACTCAGGCAAAAGTTTTTTTAGTAAGGCAATTTACTTCTGCAGAAGATTTTTATTTGCGTTAATCACGATTCGCAAGAGCACCCTGAACAAAGGAGGGAGGGGTTTTTTTTTTTTTTTTTAACGTAAAGTCTCTACCTCTGTGTTACTGCCCCATGGGCTGGGGTTGGACCGCACAATCTAAACTGACCCAACTGGCTATTTGTAAATGTTTTTCCAAATAAGGAAGGGAAGGGGCATGTATAAGTCACAGTGCTAGGACGTTTGGTTCTGAAGGGTGGAAAGGGTGCAGAGTAATCAAGGAAATAGATGTGAGTTATTGATTAGAGCTGATGGGAAGCAAGATTGTTACAGTAACTAGGGGTAAGGAGGCATGGAGAACAAGAAAGTTGAGTCTGAGAACAAAGAACAAGAAAGTTAACAGACTAACCCTTTGAAGAGGAATATTATTGTATTTTACAATTTCCCCCTTTTAATTTTTATAATTAAAAAAAAAAACTTTTTTTTTTTTTTCAAGATGAAGTTTTGCTCTTGTTGCCCAGGCTGGAGTGCAGTGGCACGATCTCGGCTCACTACAATATTTGCCTCCCAGGTTCAAGCAATTCTCCTGCCTCAGCCTCCGGAGTAGCTGGGAGTACAGGCATGTGTCACCACGCCCAGCTAATTTTGTATTTTTAGTATAGACGGGGTTTCTTCATATTTGTCAGGCTGGTCTCTAACTTCTGACCTCAGGTGATCCGCCCGCATCAGCCTCCCAAAGTGCTGGGATTACAGGCGTGAGCCACCGCAACCGCACGCTTTTTAAAACTTTTTTTTTTTTTTTTGAGACGGAGTCTCGCTCTGTTTCTCAGGCTGGAGTGCAGTGGCGCTATCTCGGTTCACTGCAAGCTCCGTCTCCCCGGCTCACGCCATTCTCCTGCCTCACGCCATTCTCCTGCCTCAGCCTCCCGAGTAGCTGGAACTACAGGCGCCCGCCACCTCGCCCGGCTAGTTTTTTGTATTTTTTTAGTAGAGACGGGGTTTCACCATGTTAGCCAGGATGGTCTCGATCTTCTGACGTCATGATCCGCCCACCTCGGCCTCCCAAAGTGCTGGGATTACAGGCTTGAGCCACTGCGCCCGGCCTTTTTAAAACTTTTTAAACATACCTTTGTTTTGTTGTTTGACTTGATCTTTTAAAATGAAAAGTTTTTCTGAATAAGGTGGAGGAGAACTAAGGGAGATTTTAGTAAGCGTTGTTTTTATAAGTCTTTGTACTAGCCCACAGGTGCATGGTACAACACAACACCCAACAAGAATTAGTAAAACTATTACAACTATAAGAGAAGTAAGAATCGAGGCTATGATTTTTTTTCATTTACTGAACCACCTCTCTAGCCATTCTGAAAACGTGTTATTGACCCCAGAATTTTTAGTTAATTCATTGGATAAAGTGGTAAGTTCGTGTAAGGCCCTTGTTATGTCCCCATTGGGGGCAGTATTGTTTGGGATGAAGGTACAATATTGAGTTTTAATCATAACACAAACTCCACCTTTTTCAGCTAATACTATGTCCAGGGCCATTTTGTTTTTCTAAGTTATCTGGCTAGTAGGCCTTAATTGGTCGGCTCTTTCTTTGACAGCATTTCTGGTGAAATTAATAAACCACTATTGATTGTAATAGATGTAATTTATCTATCTAATCTCCATTTTTATTAATAGTTACCCATGGAAATACTGATTTAAATCCTGCAGCTATTTGGTCTTCAGCTTTGAATTCATCAGGTACCCCCGTGGGACTCCAATTGTGTCTAAATGAACTTGAAAGTCAAAAGACCCAGAAGGGGCTTCTCTTATTTTATGGTGTTGTGGTTTTTCTTTTTCTAGTTGATGAAATGCGAGGGTGAAAGGGATAGCCAATTGGGCAACAGTGCAAGTGCCATTCCAGTTACTTGGCAGAGTGTCCAGTAAGGGTCCACCACAATACCACCATACATTTGCTGGAGGATGAACAGGGGCAGACTGACTGGTAAGCTCTTGGAAAAGCTTAAGCTCATTGTATCCCATAAGGTCTCCAAGAAATGCCAAGTTTTCCCCTTGTTGTGAGAGACACAAGGTAAAATTGACGCTAGGAGATGGAGGCTGGATGGCTCTTGGGGCCTGACCCACAGGGTGTTGGACTTTAAGACATAGCAGAGAGAGACCGGGCGCGGTGGCTCACGCCTGTAATCCCAGCACTTTGGGAGGCCGAGGCGGGCGGATCACAAGGTCAGGAGATTGAGACCATCCTGGCTAACACGGTGAAACCCTGTCTCTACTAAAAAATGCAAAAAAATTAGTCCAAAGCGTTCGTGCAGGCGCTGTAAGTCCCAGCTACTGGGAGGCTGAGGCCAGAAGATGGTGTAACCCGGATGGCGGAGCTGCAGTGACTGAAGGATCGCGCCACTGCACTCCAGCCTGGGGGGGACTGAGCAAGACTCTGTCTTCAAAAAAAAAAAAAAAAAAAAAAAAAGAAATAGCAGACAGAGAGCTCAGCAGGATTTATTACCCCCAGGCTGTGGGGGGGTGCGTGGAAGGAGAGAGTACGGGATGAGCGGGCGGAGGCAACTAGAAGAACATCTGAGTGGGAAAGGACAAGCTGGCCGTGCTGAGGCGGGGCGGGGTGTGGACAGAGGCATTGGTTAGAAGCGGACGACGAGGAAATTTGATCCATTTAGCGAGAGCTTGTGACTGGAGACGAAGGAAGGGAGAGAGGGCGCGAAAGGAGGTACTTTTTTTTGTTTTTTTGAGACGGAGTTCGCTCGCAGCCGAGCGTGGAGCGAGGTGCGGATCCAGCTCGAGGCTGTGGCAAGCGCGGCGCGCTCCGGGGTTACGCCATTCTCCGTGCCTCAGTCCCCCGAGTAAGCTGGATTACGAGGCGCGCCGCCAACCGGTCGGCCCGACTAGTTTTTTTGGTAGTGTTTTTTTAGTAGAGACGGGTGGTTCAGCATGTTAGCCAGGATGGTCGTCGGATTCCGTGACTCGGTGATCCGCCGCCGTGCTCGGGCCTCCCAAAGTGCTGGGATTAGCAGGCTTGAGCCACCGGCCCAGCCTATAGATTAGTTACTGGTTTGA